ATCGGCAGCGAGGCCATTTCCTGGAAGCCATCTCGCGACGGCAGCAGACGAGGAGAGGAACGGCGCCGTTGGTCGAGGATGCCCGGATCTACGCGAGGGTCCTCGCTGGTCTGGCCCTCGTCCGCCGCGCCGCCGCCCATCCCGCCGCCGGTGGTGAGAAGCAAGCTCTATTTTGGTGGGTTGGATTGGTGAGCAGAGCACGGGAGACCAGAGTCAGAGTGAGGAGTGAGGAGTGATGGGATTCAGGGGAACGGGGGGCGCCTGTAGCTACATTTTGGAATATTCGGAGGGGCTTCCTGCAAATGTCCCAGCATCACACCAAGGTCCCATCCTGGCCCTTGATTGCCCATCCGGCGGCCACAAATTCGTCCCTTGAGATTGAGGTTAATTAACTTCCCGGAGCAGGAAAATTCCAGGCTATATTCTATCCTTCGTTCCTTCTGGATGGCCAAATTACAGACCAAAATAGAGACAAACCCAGACCAACTTAGTGGTAAAAAGGAACACTACTAATATTTTTCACCTTTGAATTGGAGAGAGGCTAGCTAACTTGTGCATAAGCAGGCAAACAAGCAATAGCTTCATAACTATCCCAAAAAGTTGTTTTTTAACCAAAAAAACTATTGGAAATAATTTAACTGTTTTATCGCTCAAAATAATAGTCCGGGAGGCCTCAAGGGAAAAAAAGCATACTTGTATTCTAAGGCCACAAAATTACAGTAATATCCTCCCATGTTCGTTTTTGGTTAAACTGTCAATGATTCTAAGCATGAATAACTGAAAAAAAAGGGTTGGCATCTCATCTCCAGGCTAACTTTTTAATTCTTCACTGAGATATCGAAAAAAAACTGAATGACTGTAACAATAGAGTAGATCAACACTGCAACTAGATATCAATAGATCCTCCTGGTCATCTCCTTATTAACCCTGACCACCTGACAAACTCCATTCCACCAACTTGGAGTTGTAGACATACATCAACCTGACCAACATTTACTTTGACTTCTCGCAGAGCCTTAGTTAACCTAATGAGTATGAAGAAACAAAACATAGCTAATGCTTTCATCACCTTATCATGCCAAAAGCAACAATCATTGTCAGATCGGGGCACACAAGATGAATGCTCCAGGTTCTGTTCTATCCTTGTGGATGACCGTATTACAAACCAAAGCGGATCAACTTAGTCGCCAGCATTCGAGTTGCTTTGCAGCCTCAGCACCATCTTGAATCCTCGACACGCCAGCTTGACCTCCAGTGTCCAGCATTCACATCAGCACTATTCTGACCATGGCGTCTATGCGCTTGAGCTTGCAGTACAACCTTGTTCCACTGTCTCCTTATCGGCCTCTTTCTTAAAACCTGCCCAATATCTCAAAGTTTGCAAATGTTCAAATTGTCAATATTCAAGAGCTTGTGAGCAAAGCAGAACAAACAATAGGTCATATTAACCACAGCGCAATTTGAAATATGCAAGAGCAAACACTTCTTTTTATGTGTTTTAACTTTTAGGGCATGCAAACATTCAGAAATGAATATTGTAAAAAACAAGTTGAGCCGCAAAAAAAATCGGTAGCTCTGTGACTGTCCCATTTCAACACAAAATAGCTAGTACTCCTATGGAATAACAAATTTCTCACTTGGGTCAGTGAAGTAAAAAAAAACTCAAGGATCTCAATTGCAACAATCAACAAACTATGTGTGCCATCCACCATCCTACAAAAATGATTGGTTGCATACAGCATGTGCTTTGAAGGACTGAGAATAGGCAGGTGAAAGTTTGAACTCTCTACAAAATGTGGATGCAATGCTACCAATTTATCTCGAGCACAAGCTGGCTCACTTTCTTATCACAAGATGGCAAGCTCTTCTTGCTATATGAATGACGTGCCTCCTGAGCAAACAAAGTTGGAATGATTCCTTCAGAAACTATTCGACATCATTCCAGTTTTACTCATATCATCATCACAAGCTGGCTCACTTTCTTATCACAAGATGTGCAATACTTGCATCCTACTTGTCATGTGCGCCATTTCTTCGCCAGCTGACTCAAACAAGTTACCTGACCCCACCAGTCGACCAAAACAAATGTGATTTGTCCTACCCAGCACCAAAGTACGGTCGATTGGGGATCACAATTGTCACACACAGTATCGCTGTCCTCTTGTTCTGCTGTACAATTTAATCATCCTAAACTTTTTGTCGATGATTCAGGTTCACTGTACATCATGCAGATTGTGCAATCCTGCAGTACATCCCGCGCTTTTACCACTTGCATGAATTGTGTGTACCAAATTCATTTTGTATATAAGCTTGTAAAGGTCTCTTTTGCCATGAAATATCAGGCCCCGTGGTCTCAGAACATGTTCGATGTCCTAACATCTATATCACTCAGATCTATTGATTGTGAAGGAAAGCGATGGGGCGCAATCCTGACACAGAAAAGCACATTGCAAGCCTGAAGTAGTCGAGCAGCGCCTGTCCCTCAGCAACGCCGCCAAAGGCTTCAAAATACTGCAATACAGGCACGTCGTGAGAGACAGGACAAAAATATACCATTCAAAGAACTTGAAAACACCTCGCTGATCGGTCGGAGAAGACAAGTAGACAACCAAGCTGGATACATGACACCGACACTCCGAGCCCATTCATCTCTGCTCAGCAGATTCAGGTTCGGGCAGGCATGTATATACAGCAAGATCATAGTTAGTTTGAATTCTGACAGCCTTCATTGACATACTTCAGCACTTTTTTTTAACATACTGATCCTTTATACTTACCTTATTTGGCAAATGCACCTATCATAGTTCAATCAAAGGCACACGATGCTAAACTCCAACACTCCAAGCTTATTTCATCTCTGATCACCAGATTCAGGTTCACTAGGCAGGCATGTAAGTATACAGCAAGATCATAGTTACTTTCAATTCTGACAGTCTTAACTATCATACTTCAGCACAATTTTTTTAAGGCAAACACACCAATCATAGTTTGATCAAAGGTACACGATGATAAACTCCAACTACATATAAAAAGGAGAAAAAACTAAAATGAAGAAGCCTTGTTCCTAATCTGCAATGCAGATTGAAACACATAGCCAGAGAAAGTCGCGGTGAAAGTCAAGTCATGTTAGAGGTTATTATCTCATCTCTGGGCTTACCTTTTTTTTTTCTTCAGTGACATCAAAATTTCTGAAATGACTGTAAACAAAATAGAGTAGATCAACAGTGCAGGTCTGACAGTGCAGGTCTGACTTATAATAGATCGTCAAGTCTCCTTAATTCCAAACACCTTGACAAGCTCCATTCCACAACTTCTCAAAAGGTCTTAGTTCAACTAATGATTCCACAAACTAAACGCTGACAATGCTCTCGCTGCCAAACAAACACAACATTCAATGTTGGATTAAGGAACACAAGATAAAACACTACAGGTTTTCCCCTTCAGGATGACCATATTACAGACCAACTTGGAATACATAGCAAGAAGACCAAAAAAAAAACCTCGGCGCTATCTCCAATACTCAACACATCAGCCGGACCTCCAGCATTAGCATCAGCACTATTCTGACCAAGCTGACTATGTGCTTGAGCACTGCAGCGCAAGCCTTGCTCCAGCATCTCCTCATGTGCGATCTCCTGCCGAATGTCTAAAAATTAGGAGTATTCGACTTGCAGATATTCAAAAGCTTGGGGGCAAACAGGAAGGAAATGACAGGCAACATTCAGAAGAAACATGGGAAGAAGCACAACACAAAGGAAATCAGCCTTCTAAATTCTTTTTACCCATGGTCCAATTGGTTTATCGACCTCAAAGTCTAAAACACTCGCTCTTATGCGTTTAACAGAGTAGTTAGCAGTCCAAGTTAAGATACTCCCTCCGTCCGGAAATACTTGTCGAAGAAATGCATAAAAATGGATGTATCTAGAACTAAAATACGTCTAGATACATCCATTCCTCCGACAAGTATTTTCGGACGGAGGGAGTACATAGCAGGAAAAAATAAATGTAGTGAATCCAAAAATAAACTTGAAAGTTGTGAAGAAACAATGGCTTTCTAGACTTCATAAGTTACCTAGTACTCCCTCCGTTCCTAAATATAAGTCCTTTTAGAGATTTCAATATGGACTACATACGGAGCAAAATGAGTGAATCTACACTCTAGAATATGTCTATATACATCCGTATGTAGTCCCTAGTGGAATCTCTAAAAAGACTTATATTTAGGAACGGAGGGAGTAGTTACCAAATTTCTCACTCAAGGAAAAGTACTTAGGGACCTCAGTAGCAACACTCAACAACCTGTGTGTGCTTTGTCATCCTACGAAAACTCATTTCTTGCATTTGGCATGTGCCTTCATTGAAGGACTGAGACAGAGGCACATGCCGCCAAACCAATGATTTCAAATCAAGCTGTTTGTAAGCACAAGCGGACAAACTGATCTTGCTATTTTAATGGCAAGTCCATGGAGCAAAAGCATATTCAAGCTCCCCACCAAAATTTTGCTCACATCATATACAAGTGTGCATCATTAGCTGTAACAATGACACGGCCTCTTATTTGCTACCATATTATTAGTTATGCAGGTTTATGTCAAATCAACATCATGAGATAAATTTATAGTTGTAAAGGTCACAAAAAGAAGATATCCCCGCCTCCTTATATCTATGAAAAGAGAGGACAAGATAACACGTGCTTGACTTGAACAATCAAAACGGTGATCTGGATTTAAACTTGTAATATCATCAATTAGCTTGATCACAAAAACATTTCTCTGAATCAATTGTTGCCACCTGGTGTTTTTTTAATGATTCCATGAGGCCTCCAAAATGCTACTTATAGTGTGCATGATATTTAGTTTTATTTGTCCAGCAAATGGCAATTAGAACAGGCAAACGCATATATCACCATTATGCTCATGGGCTTGGTTAATTTTGCCACAATCACAGAAAAAGTAACAGCTAGCAAAATGTAAACAAGGATTACCGATCAGAATAATGAACTATGAAGCAGCACTCGATATTGTTGGGGACGATAGCAATGATGGTGGGAAGTTGCTATATACATATGTCATGGGTGTGCCAGGTGTTGCAAACACCTTCTCAAGCTGGAATGTCTTGATGTCCAGCGCGAAAGTGCCTTTATCGAGCAATGAGCTTCCTGAATGAAACAAGAGCAAGTGCCTCCCTGTTGAATTTGTGAATCTGCACCAACGAGAATCCAGTCGGATTGTCTTCTCCAACCGCCACTGGCTGGAACTCCCACCATTGTTTCGCCTAATCAGATAACTGAGGTCAGATGTGTGATTTGGAAGCACAAACATCCCAATGATGCCTTCCCCTGCCTCCACAATGGCTATATCCACATATTGTCGTCTCGCTTCAGGTGGGAGGTCAGCAACTGAGAACTCCATTGTCCGAGTGTCAAGCACCAGCAGCTTTCCCCTGCAACCCGTCATCCCGTAGAAGCAGCCATATGCATACCGGCGGTAGGAGAAGAAAGCGAAAGAAAACCCTGCAGTCCATGGACCAGCTCACCATTGTCCCGTGCTGGAAGAGAAGACAAAAGCGGCATGCTTATCTTCGCATCGCGCGATCGAGATCACTGTGAAGGATGTCTCTTCTGCGGCATCCTCCTCCTCTTTAAGGAAGGAGTGCCATTTGTTCACTGAACTAGGAACCCACCCCTCGACTAAAGGAATTGGGGGGAGGAGGTGGTACCGCCGGTACAAGGGGTCACACACCAGCAGGGCACGAGTACGGAAATGAGAGCGAGATCTCTTGAGGAGGACGCGGCCGTCGCGGACGTCCCGGACCTTCCAGTGGTGGGCGGGGGTGGGTAGGAATGAGAAGGAGAAGTCGGCGGCGAGGGCGACGGCGATGGCTGCGGACGCGAAAGGAGAGGGCGGGATTACGGGGAAGAAGTTTCGGCTCTCGTCAAGGAAGCCGAGGAGGGGCGGGGCGTGGAGCTTGCGGAACCGCCGGAGGAAGGAGCGGTCGGCGATGAGGGTTCGGGAGGAGACGCAGGCGAGGGAGGCGCGGACCAGATCGGCCGGGGTGGGCAGCCGGAGGAAGATCTCCGCCACGAGCTCGTTCTGAAGAATTGGTTTCAATGTGTGGTTCGGTCAGTTAACAAGGCTCAAATGAAGCGGTGTGCGACAGGTGAATCAATCCGTTTCGGTTAATACAAAGTCGAGTCATCTATTTTGAAACGGATGGTATACTCGATTTTCATCAAGTGTTAACTTAATTTTTGAACCAATCGAGTATATGTGTAGTAGTATGAATTAAGTTGAGAGTTTAAAAATTCCCCAAAAAGAGATGAGAGTTCAAAAAGATGATTTGTTTTTCGTATCTTTTAGACGAATGCGTCCAGTGCGTTCTTTGGATACATTTGTGTCATTGCACAAATTGTTTGGAACTTGAATTTTTCGGTATTTTTCGCAAATGACAGTAAGAAGCAATTGTTGCATCTATCAAACAGCAAAAAAAAAAGTTCATGCAAATAAAAAACAGCAAAAATGAGTTCAGGGATTTCTAAACTTTACACCATTCACCACTGGAAAATGAGATGTCTTTTTTAACCAGCCGGTTACAAATTTAACCGTGTTCTGTTCCAACTCTTACTCACCCTTAGTTAATTAACTAAGTTCTGTGGGGCAATACAAGGACACAAAATACATCGGCACCAAGTATACAAACTAGCACTATGTTCCAATCACGGTGACAATCTAATTCTATTGAACTTTACAAAGCCAGAAAAGTTCTCCATTTATGAGCAAGTTTTGGACATGATTTGTACTTCACTACACCACAACTCTTAATTAAGGCAGTTAACCATGGGGAGAAAATACAAGAATAAGGGCATAATATCCGTCTGAAATCATGCTATTGCCAGCAAAAGTGTTTAAGGTCAGGAAAAATGTCAACAGAAGTAGAACAACGCGGACACTCAGACTGCCACCAACAATGCCTACTTTTCAACCCTAGTGAACCACAACACATTATCTTTAGAGACTGGGTATGGCTTCACATCAAAAATAAATGGGTCTAAACGCGCTAGTGCAAGAGACTCCGGAAAGACCAACAAATTTCACATCGAAAAATCTTTTAACTGCCGCCATGACTAGGACTTATGCCAACATTCACTTTGTCCCCCAAATCGACCAGCCTTACCCTCGACCACTGCCGCCCCCAACCACCTTCTTCAAGACCCCAGGCCGGCTCTAACCCCGACCACGTTGCCGAGCACACTTCATCGTCCCCCAACTACTATCCAGGCAGCCATGGCTTCTCCATGCTTTCTTCCATGGGCATCACCGCCTCTTCTCTCTGTTGGAAATATGCCCTAGAGGCAATAATAAATTAGTTATTATTATATTTTCTTGCTCATGATAATTGTTTATTATCCATGCTATAATTGTATTGAAAGGAAACTCAGATACATGTGTGGATACATAGACAACGCCATGTCCCTAGTAAGCCTCTGTTGACTAGCTCGTTGATCAATAGATGGTTACGGTTTCCTAACCATGGACATTGGATGTCGTTGATAACGGGATCACATCATTAGCAGAATGATGTGATGGACAAGATCCAGTCCTAAGCCTAGCACAAAGATCGTAGTTCGTATGCTAAAGCTTTTCTAATGTCAAGTATCATTTCCTTAGACCATGAGATTGTGCAACTCCCGGATACCGTAGGAATGCTTTGGGTGCACCAAACGTCACAACGTAACTGGGTGGCTATAAAGGTGCACTACAGGTATCTCCGTAAGTGTCTATTGGGTTGGCACGAATCGAGACTGGGATTTGTCACTCCGGTTAACGGAGAGGTATCTCTGGGCCCACTCGGTAGGACATCATCATAATGTGCACAATGTGACCAAGGGGTTGATCACGGGATGATGTGTTACGGAACGAGTAAAGAGACTTGCCGGTAACAAGATTGAACAAGGTATCGGGATACCGACGATCGAATCTCGGGCAAGTACAATACCGCTAGACAAAGGGAATTGTATACGGGATTGATTGAATCCTTGACATCGTGGTTCATCCGATGAGATCATCGTGGAACATGTGGGAGCCAACATGGGTATCCAGATCCCGCTGTTGGTTATTGACCGGAGAACGTCTCGGTCATGTCTGCATGGTTCCCGAACCCGTAGGGTCTACACACTTAAGGTTCGATGACGCTAGGGTTATAAAGGAAGTTTGTATGTGGTTACCGAATGTTGTTCGGAGTCCCGGATGAGATCCCGGATGTCACGAGAAGTTCCGAAATGGTCCGGAGGTAAAGATTTATATATGGGAAGTCCTGTTTTGGTCACCGGAAAAGTTTCGGGTTTTATCGGTAACGTACCGGGACCACCGGGAGGGTCCCGGGGGTCCACCAAGTGGGGCCACCAACCCCGGAGGGCTGCATGGGCCAAGTGTGGGAGGGCACCAGCCCCAGGTGGGCTGGTGCGCCCCCCACAAGGGGCCCAAGGCGCAGGAAGAGTGGGAAGGGGGGCAAACCCTAGGGCAGATGGGCCTTAAGGCCCACCCTAGGTGCGCCTCCCCCCTCTCCCCTTCTGGCCACCACCCAGATGGCACCTGGGGGCTGCCGCCACCCCTGGGGAGGGAACCCTAGAGGGGGCGCAGCCCCCTCCCCCCCTATAAATACATGAGGTGTAGGGGCTGCCCAATACATGAGTTTCTCCCTCTATTGGCGCAGCCCTACCTCTCTTACTCCTCCTCTCCCGCGGTGCTTGGCGAAGCCCTGCAGGATTGCCACGCTCCTCCACCACCACCACGCCGTTGTGCTGCTGCTGGATGGAGTCTTCCTCAACCTCTCCCTCTCTCCTTGCTGGATCAAGGCGTGGGAGACGTCACCGGGCTGTACGTGTGTTGAACGCGGAGGTGCCGTCCGTTCGGCACTAGGATCTCCAGCGATTTGGATCACGACGAGTACGGCTCCTTCAACCCCGTTCTCTTGAACGCTTCCGCTTAGCGATCTACAAGGGTATGTAGATGCACTCTCCTTCCCCTCGTTGCTGGTTTCTCCATAGATAGATCTTGGTGACACGTAGGAAATTTTTGATTTCTGCTACGTTCCCCAACAGTGGCATCATGAGCTAGGTCTATTGCGTAGATCCTTTGCACGAGTAGAACACAAAGTAGTTGTGGGCGTTGATTTTGTTCAATATGCTTACCATTACTAGTCCAATCTTGTTTCGACGGTATTGTGGGATGAAGCGGCCCGGACCGACCTTACACGTACTCTTGCGTGAGACAGGTTCCACCGACTGACATGCACTTGGTGCATAAGGTGGCTAGCGGGTGCCAGTCTCTCCCACTTTAGTCGGAACGGATTTGATGAAAAGGGTCCTTATGAAGGGTAAATAGCAATTGACATATCACGTTGTGGTTTTGCGTAGGTAAGAAACGTTCTTGCTAGAAACCCATATCAGCCACGTAAAACATGCAAACAACAATTAGAGGACGTCTAACTTGTTTTTGCAGGGTATGCTATATGATATGATATGGCCAAGAAGAATGTGATGAATGATATGTGATGTATGAGATTGATCATGTTCTTGTAATAGGAATCACGACTTGCATGTCGATGAGTATGACAACCGGCAGGAGCCATAGGAGTTGTCTTTTTTTATTGTATGACCTGCGTGTCATTGAACAACGCCATGTAATTACTTTACTTTATTGCTAACCGGTAGCCATAGTAGTAGAAGTAATAAGTTGGCGAGACAACTTCATGAAGACACGATGATGGAGATCATGATGATGGAGATCATGGTGTCATGCCGGTGACGATGATGATCATGGAGCCCCGAAGATGGAGATCAAAAGGAGCAAAATGATATTGGCCATATCATGTCACTATTTGATTGCATGTGATGTTTATCATGTTTATGCATCTTATTTGCTTAGAACGACGGTAGTAAATAAGATGGTCCCTCATTAAAATTTCAAGAAAGTGTTCCCCCTAACTGTGCACCGTTGCGAAAGTTCGTCGTTTCGAAGCACCACGTGATGATCGGGTGTGATAGATTCTTACGTTCACATACAACGGGTGTAAGCCAGATTTACACATGCGAAACACTTAGGTTAACTTGACGAGCCTAGCATGTACAGACATGGCCTCGGAACACAAGAGACCGAAAGGTCGAGCATGAGTCGTATGGTGGATACGATCAACATGAAGATGTTCACCGATGATGACTAGTCCGTCTCACGTGATGATCGGACACGACCTAGTTGACTCGGATCATGTAATCACTTAGATGACTAGAGGGATGTTTATCTGAGTGGGAGTTCATGAGATGAACTTAATTATCCTGAACATAGTCAAAAGATCTTTGCAAATTATGTCGTAAGCTCGCGCTTTAGTTCCACTATTTAGATATGTTCCTAGAGAAAATATAGTTGAAAGTTGACAGTAGCGATTATGCGGACAGTAG